CATTGATGATCTGTATATTTAATAACTATAGTCTTATTTTACATGCATGTATTTTTTTTTTATTTTTTTTATTGAACGACACTATACAGTTATATATACATTACTACAGTATAAACACTATTACACAATAAAATACATTACTACAGTATAAACACTATTACACAATAAAAGACACCACTATTACACATTACTACACACACTTACACAATAAAAGACACACATTACCACATCAGCAATATTACACACTAAAAAACGCACAATGAACAATAATTCATACGCCACACTAACAATACCCCATCTCCACCCCACCCCCACTCCTTTCCAAACACCGAGGAGAGAGAGAGAGAGAGAGAGAGAGAGAATATAAAACCCCACCCCATCATTCCCCACAGGAAGAATAAAGACCTGATGTATTTTGTATTTTAGATTTCTTTCACGTTATGGCTTTCTTTTGTTCCAGCACGCTTTATCAAAATATCTGTTTTCCTTATTATTATTTTATTGTTTTCTATACGAAAGTGGGCGAAATTATAGAGACAAATACCCAAAACGTGCGGTTTAAACACTTTCAAGTTATGAATTGTTGTCAACATCGGTTAACTACAGCTATTAAGCTATTGTGCGAAGAACAGACCACTTCGATGTGTGCACAGATAATGTATTATTATTCAGAGCTATTATATGTTCAATAGATTCTCGGTATCTAAGTCTTTGCATAAAAAGTGAAAGGCTAATAGAGATATCTTGACATTTACGACACATGATAAAATATTTGGTAAATAGAATTAAAAAATCAACGGAGTTCGTATGTTCTTTAATATTGCTATCCTGTAATATTACATTTTTAAAATCTAGCTTAAAGTCGACGCTTATTGTTTTTATTATATTTGATATCTCTTCCCATATAGGGTTAACTTTTCTACACTTATATAAATAGTGTTCAGTAGTATCTAATTCATTACATTGTACACAATAGGGCGACTTAGAAAGTCCTATTTTGTATAAGTACGTGTTTGTTGTAGTAACTTAAACTGGAAGTTTCGAATTCTTGGATCTATACATATTTTACGTAAGTGTATAAATGGGTTGAAATTATCTTTTATTTTGAATTCTCTCCATTTTGTCTTTGAGAGGTCAATGTTTTTGTATTCTCTCAACTGCTCATATGCATATGCATGTATCTGAGGATACAAATACTTTGATACCCAGAATAAATCAATCCTACTATATTGTGACTGGTCATTCCTAAGCCATGTAAATTGTTGTTTTTCTTTATTTAAAGTTCTCCAAATATCAATTAATTTATTATATTTTAATATATCTTTTAAACTTTAAGACGGTTTACAAATTACTCCCGAATGATTATTTTTCCCTATCCTGTGTAGCTAAAGTATCGTTAAAGTCACCACCTACAATTAAAATTCCCTTTGAATTTTGTTTTATTATCTTATTTATTTATTTTAAAAACGTATTTCTTGTTTTCTTTTGGCTGATTGGGATGTTGGAATTCAGGTCCAAACCAATTGGAAACTTTGAAGTTGTGGCGGTTAAATTTTCAAAATTTGTTTGGGATTTGGGATTTAGGTAAGTCACATTGAAATTGCTATATTCGCGGGCTTGAATAGCAGGAAAACATTCTTCAAGCTATTACGCCTATGCATCACCTGACCATTTTATGTATAAATTTATCTGATATTTGAGACTTATACACCGGTGAAACGTGAATCACCCTTCATAAATGGCTTTTTAAATTATAAAAAAAAAAAAATGTGAAAGTCACGTCATGATCCAAATGTATAAATAATGAATTAAACCGACCTATATTTATCGATGATGTTAAACATACGTATACAATTTCATACACCTTCTTCTTTATATTATATATTATTATTGACATATACTTATTCAACAAGGAGGTTACTCAAATATCTATTTTATGTTTACAAATGTGACTGCGTTAAGGAGCAAACCAGTGTGGTGTTAAATATTTACATAGAAATATAAGATGTTAATACAACCGTCTAAACGCTAGGTTCCCGCTATTAGGATTCGCGCCACGGGGAGGGGGAGTGAGGTCCTATACGACACCGTCGTCTGTAACCCGAAATTTTTCTGGCATTTTAGATTCTGCCCTCCTAACATTCATCGTGCCCGTATCTATATAAATGTACATAATTGTTAATGTTATTATTCTGCAACTTCAGGGATTTCTAATATTTAGTTGGGAGAGCGATTGTTTTCGTAATTTTTCGACCTTGCTTACCTTTCGTGAAGCTATTATCGAAATAGGCAAAAAGAAAACAATATAAAATTCAGAAAGATAATTGAATCTTCTAATGTTTTTAACAAGATTTTATTATCAAGAGGCATAACCCAGGAGCTGTTTATTGAGAAATGTGGACAATCATCGGGATTCTTCGTTTCAGTAAAAGCGATAACCCTATCAATTGCACAAAAGGTGTATGGATTGTTTTAGCCGCGTGTGAACGAACGGCCATCCCAGCGGAAGTATATTTGAAAACAAAACATCATCAGTATTTTTCCCCTAAATGGGTTAAGCAAACCACACTAATTTCATAACAAATGGATTATTCTATAAATAGAATATCGGACAGACAATATATTGAAATCTTAGAGACATAGGTTTATTGACAACCAATTGAAATCTTAGAAACATGGGTTTATAATTGTGGTCTTTAAACGTGAAAAAGTCTGGTTGTGTTTTTTGATTATATCGCAAAACGTTGAAAGCCAATCTTTATATCAATTTCAATGATTGAACCAACGGGGTGGCGGCAATATCACATTAAACTGTTAACTGTATGTATTAATTATAAAAGGTCACACTCTCAATAACGCCAACAGAATCACAATGAACCAAAGTCATTTAATTAATCAAAATCATTTAGGACATCATCCTTTTTGCTGATTGTTTGAAAAGATTAAATTAATGGCGTCGAATGTGTTAACATAACTAAGCTAGTCTGACTTAACAGCATACTACATATAGCTGATGTAGATTGTTTCTTAGATCTCTAATCTCAAAGTGTGACATAATTTTTTTTTTGTCCCCCGCCTTTCGAAGAAAGCAGGGGACTATTAAAATGGGTTCGTCCGTCTGTCTGTCTGTCTGTCTGTCTGTCCGTCCGTCCGTCCGTTTGTCCGTCACACTTTTTGGGACACAATAACTCTCCTTCTAATTGACCTAGAAAGTTCAAACTTGGTGTAGGTGTTTATTAAGTCAATGCCTTGATGGAGTTCGAAGATGAGCATTTTCTGCTTAGGGTAAGCAGAGATAAGCAATTTGATTGGTTGATGCTTTAGGACACGATAACTTTAGTTCTAATTAAGTGAGAGTGATGAAACTTGGTGTATAGTTTCATTACATCAATACCGTGACTAAGTTCGATAATGAGCATTTTCTGTTCGGGGTAAGCAGAGCATTTTCTGCTTAGGGTAAGTAGAGATAAACAATTTGATTGGTTGATGCTTTGGGGCACGATAACTTTAGTTCCAATTAAGTGAGAGCGATGAAACTTGGTGTATAGTTTCATTACATCAATACCTTGACTAAGTTCGAGATTGAGCATTTTCTGCTCGGGGTAAGCAGAGCGATAAGCAATTTGATTGGCCGAGACTTTGGAACACAATAACCCTCCTTCTAATTGAGCTAAAATGTTCAAACTTGGTGTAGGTGTTTATTAGTTCAATGCCTTGATGGGGTGTGAAGATGCTTTGGGGCACGATAATTTTAGTTCCAATTAAGTGAGAGTGGTGAAACTTGGTGTATAGTTTCATTACATCAATACCTTAACTAAGTTCGAGATTGAGCATTTTCTGCTCAGGGTAAGCAGAGCGATAAGCAATTTGATTGGCCGAGACTTTAGAACACAATAACTCTCCTTCTGATTGAGCTAGAATGTTCAAACTCGGTGTAGGTGTTTATGAGGCAAATGCCTTGATAGAGTGTGAAGATGAGCATTTTCTTGCTTATGGGACACGATTGGTTGATGCTTTGGGACACGATAACTTTAGTTCTAATTAAGTGAGAGTGATGAAACTTGGTGTATGGTGTATAGTTTCATTACATCAATACTTTGACTAAGTTCGATGATGAGAATTGTCTGTTTATGCTAAGGAGCAATAAGCATTTTGATTGGTCAATACTTTGGAACATAACAACTCTGCTTCTAATTGAGGTAGAATGTTTAAACTTGATGTTGATGTTCGTCTTGACTGAGTTCAATGATTAACATATCGAGCTAAAGCTAAGCAGAGATAAGCCATTTCCTTGGTCGATGCTTTGGGACAAGATAACTTTGATTCTATCTGATAGAGAGTGATGAAACTTAGTGTATAGTTGATAATCAGTTTGATTGCTCGATACTTTTGAAAAAAATAGATGTGCGATTAATTAATATGTGTCATCTATTTATTTGGTGATTTCGGCGGGGGACATCAGCCTCACTGTTGGATTGTTTTTGTTGGTGGGGGGGGGGGGTAATACCAACCCTTCCTCCGTAAACGATTTATAAAAATGTCCATTTCTCAACAAAATTCATGGCTAGACCATTCTGAGTTTAGAAATAATGAAGTTCACTCCGCAAAGATGTATCGGTGATATTATTTATTTATTTTATGATCAGTAGTGGAATACTGCGTTTTATCAGTGAAATAAAAGTGTTATTTCACTGGCTAGTTGTTTTTACCTAAAATGATTGTAAAATCATAAATTAAATAGAACATTTGTCGTTTTGTCGTGAATAACATATTTTATTTCATCGAGAAGCAAGAAAACGTTTATATTTTCACTCATGCTACGCATTCGTGAAAATATAAGTTTTCTTGCTTCTCGATGAAATAAAATATGTTATTCACGACAAAACGACAAATATCCTCTATATATGTCATGATAAAACTTAAGTCCGAAGAATTACAGAATTGTATTGTGTTTTATCTCTATTTCTTTTAATAAATATCACTGAACAAAATATACTCACCATACAAGACTGCAATTAGCCATTTAATCCAGTATAACTAGAGTAATACTACAGCTCTGTCATTTATATATATATATAAAGTGTCGGGATAGAGTCACGTGATTATATGTATATCTTTAAAATAAGACTTGAGTCAATAGTTCCACCCATACCCCAAGCCACATAGTAAATATGGGATGTTTTAGTTGAGACATGTTTGGATGTCGAATCAGGCGGCATTAATAGGTAAATTTCATTTGCTATACCAATTTAAGCCATTGTGCGTCATATAGGTCATACAGGGATATTGCGTAAGTATTTTTTTTAAAAAATAAAATAAAATCAATGGTTAAATAGCCGTCGTCGTCGCTCTTGCAGTAACTTAAATGGGCATAAATTTTTAAGGCATATTTCGGACAGACCCGAGTGTGATTGCTGTGATTACTTCGAAGATACCGATCATTTTCTTTTACATTGCTCCTTACATTCTGATGCACGCAAAATATTTATAAATCTTGTATCACTAAACATAATCATTTATACGGTGTAAGCAGCGGTCATATTTCGTTACTTTCTTGGAAAAGGTCCACTTGTTTTTTTGATAGCAGCAGAAGGTTTTAAGATCAGTGTAATATCCAAATGCGAACATGAACAACTGCTTAGCCAATGTGTAAATATGTACAAACAAAATGTTGTTGATTAAGTATCCATTGCATTGTTTTGTTGTTTATTCACCTATTTATATATTCATATTTATTCTCGTATTTAGGAGAGAGGTCATATAAGCTATGCCTGGTCCTTAATCATTTTCAATTTCTGAATAAACTTTTGTTTTTTAAAAAAAGGTATTTATTCCCCCATATAAATTATAGAATCATAAACCACAACTAAAAATAGTAATACAGGTGACATGTTTTCAACATGAGACAAATGTTTATATAGGTGAAAAGCTGGGACTTATATCCAGTCTGGGAACACAAAGCGATTTGCTATTAACTATTAAACCAGATTGAATATATAATCATACGAGTTTCAAAAAGAATTTGGTCACGAGTGACATAACATTCAATAGAATATCGCGATGAAAGATCGGCTTCATAACAACTTTTAAATATGTACAAAGAGGAATTGTGAATCACGGGTTATATGACTCAGAAACACGTGATCCCCACTAGACCACACGATTGCATTGACAAATCCGCACAGTGGTTCGAACATTTACTTGAGAAATCAAAATGAGCAATGTAAAATAACATGCCATCGTCATTACAAATGTTTCTAAAGTTCAGATACAAATGATTTGTTTCAAAGTATATACCGTTGGTCTAAAACAGGTTAAGCAATATGTACATGATACATATGGCCGGATTAAGACACGGGTCAACTAGGTCATGGTCCAGGGCCCCGCACTTTTAGGGGCCCCTTGTAAGGCCAAAAAAAGGTTCTGTTTCCTGTAACGGATGGAAAATAGGGTAGGGTCGGTAGGTAGGTGTTCTTTTTGGGTTTTTTTTTCTTTTTTTTAATGTTACATTGTTAGATCTAGTAGATCTACCGTAGCATAATATTATGTGCGCAAATCTTCAATTTTATGTTACGTTGAATCGACACAGGGAAGCATGAAGCACGTCATGAAGCACATGTTTCTTTTATTAAACATACCTTATCTAAGAGCTAAATCTGCCTTTTGCGGGTCTATCTTTAGGCATGAAATGTTATATAAACTATTAATTAGATATTTATTAACATGACAAGACCATAATCAACTCTAGATGCCATCGGTTAGCTCCGATATTAAGTAGATCAGTACGGTTCAGCCATATTTTGATCTAATTTAAAAATGGAGAAGTGAGGCTTAGGTTCGAACAGCCAGTACATGTGTTGCAATTAATGCACACGTGTTGTCAGACCTTCAAAGGCCAACATCTTCGCTCGCAATAGAGTAATTTGAATGAAATTTTCAATATATACATTTTGCATTATCTATTTTAGAACTATTACAGCAAGAATGGTTAGCTCTTTAACTGAATCTTACATAATGTATCTTTAAGTAGATTCTTTCTGAGAGTTCTCAGTCTCATGCGTGGTGGCAGATAGGCGGCTCTTACCTTGGTACCACTGAGTCTCATGCGTGGTGGCAGATAGGCGGCTCTTACCTTGGTACCACTGAGTCTCATGCGTGGTGGCAGATTGGCAGTACTTACACCTTGGTACTACTGGGGATTTTTGCTTTGGTGATGTACTACTGATGGAAATTGATGAGCCTCAGGAGGCGTCGGGAACAGTTTCCCACCGGGGGAAGCTTCGGGGGGGGGGGGGGCGTTGCGAACCATGTGGAACCATCGGGAAGCCTCGGGAGAACTACCAAAAATGACAATTTTCCCCGATGTGTTCTCGACGTTTTGTTCTTCCGAGGACCTGGAAAGCTATTTGTCGGGAAAGCAGGCTGGGGATGCTTCCATGGACCTTTCGATAAATATTTGTCCACGAGGCAACCAATTTAAAGTAGTTGCAAACAATATTTTTTTTTATCTTTGTTTTATTTGGGGGTTTTTTTTTTGGGGGGGGGGGCTGTGGGGAGGGGAGTCAAGGTCCGGAGCCCGACGTAGTAACCTTGACAGTTTGTGCCGAATAGTAGGTTGCTTGATAAATAATGTGGTAGTTTGAATAACCGCCATGGTCTGTATCCAACGAGGGATGGAGGTATAAGAAAATTGGACGGCCGCTATATCAACCCGTGAATACAGCAACTTGAAACGGGCTGTTGTTGTTGTTCTTAGTGTTCAACGCCCGCTTCCACCAGAATACCCCGTGTAAACCCACAAAGTTGTCATGATCAGTGGCTTAACACAAAAAGTGATTTAGATCTATTAGTTGGAAGATAGTTAAATCACCTGGTAGGAATCCTCTTTGAAGTGCTTTATTGACCTTGTGGAGGGAAATGATTCGACAATTGCTGCAGTCATTTGGGTGCCTTTTTTGAAAATAGCAATGACATTTGCAAATTTACATACATGTATATTTGGAACAGTGTGTGTTTCTAGTGAAAATCGAAAGAGTAGGCACAAGGGATTACTAATTTCATTTACAATATATCTTAAAATTGTCGAGCTTACATCGTCCGGAAGGGAGGTTTTTTATATATCAAGGTTATTTATTGCGTCCTTGACTTCCCAGGTGTTGGTATCATCATGCCTGGACTATTAATATTCAATTCGACGAGCGGAAAAGATTTATTAGTACTTGCAGTTAAGGTTGCTGTATGACATAATTATTAAGGGCATTGGCTTTTATCAGTGGGCGAAAACAACTATTAGTGAAGGGGTCTCGTTTGAAGATGCAGCCTGTGACTTGGTATTCCACCATTATTGTTGTGCTAAAGTGTTCTTTATCATTAATATTTGCGTCAATTTTCTCAAAGTACACTGAAAAAAAACTTGTGTTGAAACAACAAATGTTTTTGTATTCTCTCAACTGCTCATATGCATATGCATATATCTGAGGATACAAATACTTTGATACCCAGAATAAATCAATCCTACTATATTGTGACTGGTCATTCCTAAGCCACGTAAATTGTTGTTTTTCTTTATTTAAAGTTCTCCAAATATCAATTAATTTATTATATTTTAATATTTTAATATATCTTTTAAACTTTAAGACGGTTTACAAATTACTCCCGAATGTTTATTTTTCCCTATCCTGTGTAGCTAAAGTATCGTTAAAGTCACCACTTACAATTAAAATTCCCTTTGAATTTTGTTTTATTATCTTATTTATTTATTTTAAAAATGTATTTCTTGTTTTCTTTTGACTGATTGGGATGTTGGAATTCAGGTCCAAACCAATTGGAAACTTTGAAGTTGTGGCGGTTAAATTTTCAAAATTTGTTTGGGATTTGGGATTTAGGTAAGTCACATTGAAATTGCTATATTCGCGGGCTTGAATAGCAGGAAAACATTCTTCAAGCTATTACGCCTATGCATCACCTGACCATTTTATGTATAAATTTATCTGATATTTGAGACTTATACACCGGTGAAACGTGAATCACCCTTCATAAATGGCTTTTTAAATTACAAAAAAAAAAAAATGTGAAAGTCACGTCATGATCCAAATGTATAAATAATGAATTAAACCGACCTATTATACCCTTTTTTACATTTCCTTATCACATTTATGTAGCCATTTCGTATTTTATGAAAGTTATGCCAAACAGTTTCCAAATTTCGTTTTACTTCTCTCTTATGTAATCTTTGTCTTCTTTTTCATTCTTCTAATTCTGTTATTCATCCAATATATTTGGTATATTGTTTTTTTACTATATTAAATCTACATTATGCAAGAGCTAAATCTGCCAATTGCAGGTCTTTCTTTAGGCCTGAAATGTTATCTAAATTATTAATTAGACATTAACTTATCCAGACCATAATCAACTCTCGATGTCATCGCTAGCCTGCGATATTTAGTGAATTATAATTCGATCTGCTGCTAAACACTCATTCATGATTAAAGAAAAAAATCGAGACTATGTTTTTTATCGTACCGACTGTAGTAATGATGATCGAGGCTAGGTCCCAAATTCAATCGCTAAATTCTCAGTTCAGAGTGAATCGATTTGACTGAAATTTTCAGCAAATTGACTTTACATTATCTAGATGTTAACTATTATAGTGAGAACTGCCAGCTCTTTATCTAATCTCCCTAATGTATCTTTAATCAATTTGCTCGTGAATTAAACCCAGGATGCATCAATATCAGAACGATCGACTAGATTGTACTAGTTAGTATATAATGTTTCTGTGCGTATACCGTCAAGATTTGTATTTTCGTAATTTCATGTCATTCGTTTAAAGCACTTTTCTTAAGGAACAATAAGTGATAACTTACAGAAAAATACGCAATGGTCACTACATAAATTGTCTAGTAGGGAAATTTGTTTACTGGTTTTGCTATGATGGATTGATTTATTTACTAATTGAGTCGGGTCTAATAAGCTGTTTTTGTCGTGAATAAAACTAGCTGGGTTTTTTTATTTGCAAATGAATATTAAAATCTCCTAATAATATTATGCACTTATGAATAGGATCAGTAATAGCTTGTTGAAAAGAATAAAATTTCTGTTGAGTGATATTGGACGTTGAAGAGGGTGATTTGTAATGGTTACCATATAGAAACTTGTTATTATTGATTCAATATAGTTCATTTTCTAAATCATTTCTACGTTTGAATGATATGGAATTACGAATATAATTAATCACCTCACCGATTGTTTCTATCTTTCATGACAAGCAGATGGTAGTTAGGTAAAGCTATAGAATCAGATTTGATGTTTTTGTCAAGCCACGTTCGCTTAATGTTATTATATCATAGCTAGTTATTATGCAGTTATGACATCAACCTGCCTGAGAGTAGTAAGAGAATATGAATATCAGATACACAGCGACGATAATAAGGATAGTAAAATTGTAGATTGCAATTATATTTGGCTTAGCCGATATGTATATTGGATAAATAGAATCGTAAAAACCAATTAAGTATGTATTGCTTTGAGATGGCTTGGACCTATGTAATTTGAAAATTTAAAATTCTTTCGGGAATTTCTTAATGTATCAAATGTGCACACGGTAGACTACCATACACAAGTCCGTGCCTGTATCCACATTTGAATGATTATTACAGTTATCTGCCTCACTATGTCGTAACCTACATTGATAGTTAGATATTTTACCATTGGTTTTAAAGAGCTAAAAGCTGTCTAACATTAGAAGTGACCCCGAAGTCATGCAATCTTCAACAGTGCTGAAAGAAGTCTTTCATTGGGAAAAGACTTTCCCATTATTAGTATCGAACAGTTTAGTTGGCTACAAATAGCGACTCGTATTGTTGTCGGGCATTGAAATCGAGCGTTAAACAAGTTATTTCATTAACGTTTCAATTATAACAGCATAATAATATATGGAATAGGAATGTGTAATAGGAAAGGGTTTGTGCACAGATAAATTGAAAACGTTTCTCAGACATCAATCGACAGTTTTTTCTCAGACATCAGTCGACAGTTTTTTTCTCAAAGATCATTCGACAGACTTTTCTCAGAGATCAGTTGACAGATTTTTCTCAGATTCGCAATATCTAATTTACATACAATCAAACTTGAACATCTCCAAATTGATAAATCATGTAAAAGAGTGGATTATTTAACTGAACAGCGAAGATTTTCAATGCACTGAAGCATTTTTCCGTTTCACCCGACCAGAATAATCAAATAAATATATTTTCGGATTGATGAAGAACAAAACTTAAAGTTTGATCGTTTATTACCAGTAAAATTTCTAAATCTCCACAAAAAAATAAAATAAACAGATACAGTATCAGATTCAATGCAACAATAGTCATATGTAAGTACCATCAGCCTTATATATCTATGGGGAAAAGAGACATAAACCGTCTCGTTTCACTTCTTAATTGTTTCTCTTCTTTTGACTAAAATATAATAGTTAAAACAGACTTTTTGACTAAAATACAATAGTTATAACAGACTTTTTGACTAAAATACAATAGTTATAACAGACTTTTTGACTAAAATACAATAGTTATAACAGACTTTTTGACTAAAATACAATAGTTATAATAGATATTTTGACAGTGTTAGTGTAAAAGGAAGACTTTCTTCTTTAAAGGCCCGATGCGGCATTTAGCGCTATAGGAATCCCTACAATATTGTGGAAGTGTCATATGTAATAAGAATGTCAGTCTATAAATGGTTCAATTCCATCCAGTATTTGCAAAGTTATGATAATTTGAAATTTCATCGATCTGTGTTTCTCGCTAGTAACAAAACACCACCATATTTTATTGGCAGCGGAGAAACCTGATGGGTCTAGTTTTAACCCGATTGAATCCAAGCCGGAAGATTGAACGTTGATACTTCGATTCTGTGTTAATTAAATGTTAAATAATCAATTTAGCATGGGTTAAGTCGTGAGAAATTTGATATTTTAGCGAAAATGCAAATGACGCATCGAGCCTTTAAGAAATCAAACAATATAATATCCAGTTTTAGCCTAAGACTGGGGATTAAAATAATAAGGCTAGCCGATTAACATATAGCACATGCAGACAGTGAAATCAAATCAACCTGCATTTTCGGACATGTTATCTATCATTCATTTTCAAATGAGCGGAGTTACCCTTTTTGTTTTGTAGAACCTAGAATGTTCGGGGGTGTTGTTTTGTTTTGTTTTTTGTTTTTTGGGGTTTTTTTGTTGGGGGGTAGGTAGGGTGTTGGTCTTGGACGATAACTAGAAACATAAGCTCTTTAGGTTTGGAATTCGAGTGTTTATGCGGTCAAAAAATAACTAAAAGGAGGCGAGGAGGAACCGACATGTTTTACAATTCTTGATAACAATAGCTGTGAAAACTGTGTAACATTAGGACATATTACGATAACCATAATACTGCACAGATATATTTATATTCAAACTAGATAAACATATATATATATATATATATATATATATATATATAATACTATAATATATAAACATTTGGCAAGCGGTCAATAATATCTGTAACATATATACATCAAAACATTAACAATAGGGGGACATCAGAGGATATAACAAATTTCATAAAGGGTGATACAAGGTTATATACCATTAATTACATTACATCTTCAATATAAGTATAGCATATCAAGCGAATAAACACACGATGCAAATCATCTCTTATGTGTAAATTAAAAACGACTCAATATTAAGTTTATGTTTTATATTTTAAAACAAATATATATTAAATCTATGTAAATGTTATTAACGTTATGAACGAACAATGTCCACTTTCTATATTTATTTGTAATTAAAGAAACAAATGTAATTCAAAATGTTACAAAGATTCTATTCTTATCACATATTAATGAATTTTAGTAAAAAGTATATCATTTAATAAACTAATCAACTACCATTTTATTCTCAAAATATCACATTTGTTATATGTATCACATATTATAGACACTATTGAACAAAACTCAAATCGAAACCCCAATATAAGCTACATGGAAATATTGCACAACAAAATTGTTGATTATAATAAAACCTCAAACAAAATAATCTAATGGATAGATGACATGGTTCTTTTTTTATGTCTTTTTCCAAAGCTTATATATTTAATTAAGGAGAATTAAAAGAACGATATAATCTAATAATCAGTTTTAAAAGCATATAATATCACAATATCAATATAAAATTCATGTGGCAGCAAAAATCTTTCAAAAAACGACCAGCGTTCAGTTTAAAAGAAATCGCCCATGTCTTAAAATCGCACTTCTATGTAAAAAGAAAAAAGAAAAACAATTTAATTCTTCTGAACCCAGAGATCATTTGGAAAACAATGAAAAAACGTGATATATTACTCTAGCAATTAATAGATGACATTCCGAAGGTCTTCTTTAATATATCATGTTTTAATCGATAAAATACCGTAATGTGACCTTCATTGAATTTATATTAGGCAGTCAACTCACATGCCCTTTGGAATATGATATGCGACAACCACCTTCCAGCTCACTGCGTAAAGGAAACACATTTTAGTAGCAATGAGAACAAACCACTATTAATCGTAGTCATGGCATATGTGTATAATAGCCAGATTGTACCCAAAAACAAGAAAAACATAATATTCTGTTATGTCCAACTAAAGCTATATAAAACCAGAGTTTCGTGTTAAGAATTGCAATCATCAAAATTGCTTCTTAAAGCAATGGTAATATATTCTAATCAATATAATCAATAATCAATATAAATTTAAGTAAAACATGCACTGGCTTAGATTTCAATGAATTGCGTATTCATACAACCCTTTTAATTTGTAACAGAAAATATAAAATCATCCCTTTAAAATGATCGATTTATGAATATAAAATTATTAATTCTGAAATTGATATCTCCAAAAGGTTATCTTTTCTTCAGGCAGGTAAACTGACGTCATAGCCTGTTTAAATTAAAACCTTTTAATTGATAATTACACCGGGTACCAAGAATGTTTATGGCCAACCATATTTGGCGCGAGTCAATTGTGATGATGTAGATAATTGGATAATAATTGATATTATTTCAAAAAAAATTACAAATGAATTGTATATTTAAAAAAAACAAAACATATAACACTCAATATATTCATTTTATGTAAAATACAACACCTGAAGCGATTAAATTTTATATAATCCTAACATTTATAAATTCCTATATACATGTTTGAAATTCTTAAATTGCACTTCATTATATACTGCCATTTTGTTATTAATTCTGTTCTATGACTAACGTTTATAATCCGTAATATAAAACATCGTAAAAACAAACAGTTTTATAGAGTAAAACTAACAGGATTCTAAAACTGTTGAAATAAATCGATTTTAAAGGCGACAATCATCAAATATACAGACAATGAAACCAGCATGCAGTGTTCTAAATATTGTAATCGTAAAATTAAGGTTAAGATTTAAATCCAAAACGTAAAATATTCTAAATCTAATAAAATTATGATTTTATTACAATTTCAGTTTGTTATTTTACACTTCTACAATCACAAGCCATACGATCACTAAACCAATCAGGGACACGGTCATATTGCCTGTGGCCTGATTCTTCACATAATTCACCTCAACACGCAACCCCGTACACCAATACAGACAATTTAATACAGCCTAAATAAATTTCCGCTTCCAATAATATGATATGGCAGATGACCAATGCCATTCAACCCCCAAAAACATAACTGACAGCTCATTTTAAAGATGCATTATGTAAGATTCAGATACAGAGCTGACAGTTGTCCATATAATAGTTCAAAAATATATACTGAAAAGGGAATATGTTGAAAATTTCAGTCAAATTACTTTATTTTGAGCGGAGTTATCACCGTTTGCTGAACACTGTAGTCTCGATTGTCATTGCTACCGTTGTTACGATAATAAACAAAGTCATGATTATCCAATTTTAAATTAAATCATTAACTGCCAATCATATTTAAATCTGTTGAAAATTAAAACCATCCGAAGTTCTAGAGAGTTGATTATGGACCTGGCATGTAAATATATGTCTAATTAATGATTTATATAACATTTGATGCCTAACGAAAGATCTGTATTGAGCAGATTAAGCTCTTGAATAATGCATCTTTAATTAAACTGGAACTACAATTAATGAAACCACATTAAAGTCAAAATGAAAACATCTTCGAACAAATAAAATGTAATGGGGTTTAATGTCCTACTTTCTGTAATCTTCAAACAATTTTACATTTATAGATTAGATGCCAGTCATACAGGTAATACGTCGACAGGGAATGGGCAATAAATTGTGATGAGATCATTCTCTTACAACATTATCGGTCTCTTTCCTGATCTTGACAAACAGTAAACTATTTGTCAGTTACCTCCCTTGGATCATCTGCTATCGAGCTACAATATTACCTAGTTTGTAATCGTTTATAGTTGCCTTATCCGTAGCATATTTCGTGGTTTGCTACCGAGATGACCCCCGATCAGTCTCATTCACAACCAACACAATATGGTAATTTTTAATTTTAGTAATAATGTTCCACCTGCGTCCATGGTTATACTGTTTATTAAGTGTGAAAGAACACGCGAGAAACCCACGAGATTTTCTAGGTTCAAACGTTGAATCGTACCAAAAATCAGCTTCGTGTCGCTTTAGACCACGTTTATTAAAAATGCGTTATGTAAAATAGTTCAAAAATTGATAATATAAAATGAATATATTGAAAATGTCATGCATATTACTTTATCACTGTTTGAAGTTTTGACAAGATATAGGATAGATTGTTTATTATCGTAACAGCGGTACTTGTTATTCAAGGCTTAGCCTCGATTAGCCATATTTGAATTAAATCATTAAATGGCGACCGTGTTTTAATCCGTTCAAATCTCAGCCATCCGAAGATCTACAGAGTTGATTATAGGCTTGTTATGTGAATAAATGTCTAAAGTATAATTTATAATAAATTTGAAGTCAAAATAAAGACACAATGCATCTCTATACAACTTCAACATAAAGGGTGCTTTCCAGGGTCGTGAAGGGTAGTGGGGCAGGGGGGGGGGGTAGCCCCCAGCACCCAATTCAAGGGAGAATCCAATTGAACATCGATATCAAAATCAAATGTTTTGGGTTGTTTAATTTGAAATTATGGCCATAAACTTCGTTGAACAATCTGTGCTATTTAATTTCAATATTTTTTTTTGAATATTTTATCTGGTTTAACATTTCTAACATTTGTGAGTACTAGGACCTACACTACAATCTATATATGGCATACAAACCCAGGGGTTGCTTGACTGGTCCTATTTTAGTGTTTAGGAAAGAGGCAGCCTAGATCTGGTTTAGTATTATTACACAACAAAAATTACATGTATGATCATTCTTCAAAGATTTGATAAAAACAAGTCAGTTATTATGCTGTGACGTACCATGAATATTTGTCCCAGAGTCTGCAACTGTTTCATCATCTATGGGAATAAAATGCTGAAAGTATAAGCAATCAACATAAATAATAGTGTTATTATGTCATGAAATTACATTTACGCAATAGAATATCGTTTAAAATTGCATTTTGGCAGTATATGCCATATTTAATTATATTTACGTGACTCATATAAAATCATAGTACATTTACGTGACATATGGATTTGTATTCACGTGGTACACTGGATTATATTTACGTCATTCGAAATTATATTTACGTGAAACCGCCCAGTAATATTCTTGCGTTAATACATATGCGTAAACAAATTGTCGAGCTCAAGGGAAAAAAAGAAACTTTGGCGGATAAGAGCAAAATTCGTACACACATTTTCCCCAAATATTACATCATTATGCTTAAAGTCCTTAAAAATAATGTAATCTTCTTCTATCTCTCACATATATATATACATACATATATTTAAATAAAACTTACCCTGTCATCGCCCTGGGAGAGAATTTGGGCAAGGGGATCAAGAACACCTCGGTCTATAGGAGAAATGTCTTGAGGATTACTGGGAAGACTACTTGAATATAGAACACATTCGCTATCCAATAGATTATCCGTATTAGTGTCACGTGATGTAGTTGCTGTGCTGAGATCAGGTTGAGTTGGTCGAGAGGTTGTCACAGTAACAGCCGTATCAATATGCGCATGTGAAGTAACTGGTCCCATAAGAATTGAAGAAACTTGTGACGAGGCTTGTTTCGTCTCGATAATTCCACAGGATTTCATTGATATAGTTACGTTAATTAAATCTTTTTCGGTTGTTGGAGCATCTTCTTGGGACCTGAGTTCACTTGTTGGTTGTGAGATTTCGGTTAATTGTTTTGAAGATACTTCGGAAGATGCTGATGAGGTTGAACTGGAGGTAGAGCGTGAAGTTGAAATCTTAGACCCACTAACTGACTCACGAAACATTGCTTGTGGCTTTGTGGGAGACTCCGATAAAGACGATCCCGATGTGGAACCTTCCTCTTCATCTTGTAGTCGTCTTTCTGAAGCCGCAGATGAACCTATGATTAGAAGACTTCGGGTAGTTTCTTCTTGTCGTTCTGTTCGAAGCCTCTTGGGTACCGATTCCCCAAGGCCTTCGCCAGGAGACTCCTCAGCACGATCTGTGGGTTTCTTATTGTCCATTCTAAAACTAACACCAGTCACGTCTGATATTCCTGAGTCATTGCCATTAATATCACAAAACCTTACATTATTGTTGTTATTTTCCGTTGACAAAATCAGTAATTCCCTTTCTAATAGTTTCATTGACCAATCAACGATATTTTGCTTTGAAAAACCTAAATCATTGTTTTCTAATAACACATCTACAGAGTCATCTAAACGAGTAGCTTCTTTGTTGTTAAAACAATGTCTTTTTCTCAATAATTGCAAATGCTTCACAATTGGACTGTCATGCCAAGTACTATCGCCAAGGTCGTTAGACGAGATGATATTGCTATCCACAATTACTGAACTATCGGGCAAAAAAGCCAAACCCTTCATTTCAACTGTATCAAGATTAAATGAATTATCAAGATTTTCGGACGCTTCGTCCCTGGATCTTTGGGAAACGTACTTCTTGTACACACCAGGATTGAAAATGTTGACATCCGAACTGAGACCGGAGATAGGTGTTCCAATATGTCCGTTTGTACCCAACACTCTCTTTCTCTTCTTGACAGCTGAATTGCTTGCTGATAACACGTTTAGATTCTTCTCGTTGTCATCACTCCTATAAGCAGAAGACGTCAAAGCCATTCTCAAGTCTACAAGTAATTTATCGATTCTTCTCTTTGAATCCTCCAGTACCTGCAAAATACAAGATAAATTATATTTGAAACCTGGCCATATTTCATCAACTCAGAATCATTTCGACAAAAATATACAAGTACAGACTTAATGTTTATATAGCTTTAACAATACTGACGCTAAGCTTTAATGGTCACCTATATCCATTTCTGTTCTTGTATCTATGGATGTTGGTTTCTAACCAAAGTTTCACTCCAATATCCAACTTTTTTAGTGCTGGGGGTGATCTGGCGAAGCGAAAGGATAATGTTGGTATTTATATTGGGTATCACGGCGGTAACTGAATATAAGGATTGGTTGGAAAATTAAGGCATTTATGGTCTGCTGAGGAAACCAGAGTCAAGAGAATACAAGGAGTTAGACGGGCGACCCTACTCGAAACCACGCCACTTTACTAAATGAAAGACGTTATTAATTTACAGCCCATTCTTATATAGAGTAGGGCGGTTGTCAGTTTCAACATTATGCTTTATTTGCTGAGCGCATTATGTTTTATTTGATCCCCTTAAAGTAAGTTTAGTTAGTTTCTGTCCTGAAATGCATTTGGGCATATCCAAAAATAAACAATCTCACATATAAGGCTTAAATAGAAAGATAAATCGTTCAAGATGTCGAATGATAGATCTTGTATTGACTTTTTAATATCAAGTATTTCACCCTCGCAATTTCATTTTGTTAAACTGAATATCATGGATTTTCGTTACGTGTTAAACGTTTGGGTTTTGTTTTTTTGTTTTGTTTTTGTTTGCATTCTGAAATCTGGAACTATGCAAACTAACGTAGCCTAATGCGCTGAACACACCTATCGAATGATTCGGCTGAATCAATCGGCGCCAAATTGCAGCCGAATGAGCGGACATACCTGGCGAATCCTTCGCCCGATTCACCAGTCGATTTTATCACCTTTCAAGTCACTGATTAAACATGGAAGCGACCATGTCTTCAAACAGTCACGTTACTTATCGATATGAGTGGTGATTGGCTAATTAATTCTACAATCGGGCGAATGCTTCGGCGAAGCGGACAGACTAGGCGAATACAATTCGGCCGAATTTTCTATTCATCTAGTGTGTCTACCGCTTTAGATAGACTCCAACGTTCATTTTGACGTTCATAATAAATCAATGTGTCAATTATCACCTGGTGTATATAACCTATAACCTATCAATTCTCATCGGGTGTATATAACCTATGACGTATCAATTTTCATCTGATGTATAAAACCTGTGACGTATTCTCACCTTGTGTACATAACCTATGACGTATCAATATCTGGGTTACTGGCATGCAAAGAGGGGGAAACAACCCCCGGACATGCGTTTCATTGCGGCGGATGACAGGGGATTCAATCAAAGAGTGGAATTAACTTTGTTGTGCAAACTGTCCTACTTAATGTAATTATTTCATCTTTTTTTTCGCATATTTAAAGTGTCTTCCCTTTCTCACACTTCTAAATACTAGGCCTTATGCTTGAGTCTTGAGGGCATACAATCAAGGGGCTGACCCCGGGCATCATCAAACGTATGCGCGTCAATGATCTGGGGACCGTGCACATGTGACGTATCGGTTGAGAATGTGACTGAAAGTTTTCGTCAGACACTGTGTATTTCAGAAGACACTACTGGGGAGATGAGGACTACAAATTACCTTTTCCATCCTCTTATTCAGCCCTACGCTAGATTAGCTTTCCAAGCACGACTGATTCTTCTAGCAAATCTCTTTGGAAACATGTGTCTGTGATGACACTCACGTAACTAGTTGACGTTAACCTCCACTCACGAACAAATGAAATGAAATTGTTTTAACGCCCTACTGTTCTACTCCGAATGGGTTAATAAAGACGGGAATAGGCTATACAGTGTGCTATGAGGGAAATTTTGGCCGGGTAGCGGCACTATGGCCTACTCTTACATCGAATTCCAACTGCCTGGAATGTATACACGGGACCTCGGTTTTAGTCCCATCCGAACGACTAGACATCTGTCCTTGTCAGACCCTCCGTCCTGCACCACGGACAATTGGATACCACGTCGGAAAATCCCAATGAACTTTCTCGGCCAATGCAGCGAGCCAGCGCCTTACCCACGTAGGCACCGTGGCTCCCCACTCGCGAACAAACGAAAATATCTGGGGAATTGGCAAACCATCCGTTTTAGTTATGAACACCGTATATCGACATGTTAGTCCTGGCTCCAGCCTATCCTATATATCACTTAAATATATACTACTATATTATATTATACCAGTGAAAGCTGCTGTACTAGTTTTTGGAACAACTTTGTTATTTCTGGATTTATACAGTTTTTTAAAGTGGCCCTACCATTTTTTGATCATTTATTTTTCACGCTGATGCTGAGTGGTGGCAGCTATACAGCGCTGAATTACCAACCAAATGGCTTCTAATAGGCCCAAAATACAAGATAGGCAGTCGAAAAAGGTTTGTTTTAAAGGCGCTAAATGTAATATGAGGGTATATAAACTGATTTGAATTCATTGCTTTAAACTTTTATTGTAATTTCTAATTGGTCGTCGAAATACGCGAGCAGTCCAAATTCAATGGCAGTCGCTTGTGCCTGGATAGTCCAGTCTACATCGGAATTACGGTTTGACATTCTACTTACGCACTAACGTTTAGCCTCGTTCATCAAGCCACATCAAGGGGCTCACGGTGACTGAGTGGGTAAGACGTTGGCTCGCTAGCCTGGAGATCGGGTGTTCGATCCCTGCATTGCCCGAAAAAGTTCATCCCGATTTTCCGACGTGGATCCCCCTTGTCAGTGATGCAGGACAGAGGACCCGACAAGGACAGCTGTCTAGTCGTTCGGATGGAACGAAAAACCTAGGTCCTGTGTACACATTGGCGGGCCAATAAAAATCCCTTGACAGATAGTATTCGATATAAAAGTAGGCCGTGGTGCCGCTGCCCGGCAAAATTTCCCACACGGTATGGCTTATGCCCGTCTTCATAAGCGCAGTTGGGAGCAGAACAGTAGGACGTTAAACTCAATTTCATTTCATTTCACATATCGCACTGGCGTGTACTGTTTTTAAAATTATTTACCGTGTCTTAAATATTTGATATTTTCACGATAAATTGGAATGGACTTTACGTATGTAATGTAAAGACTCTGGATAATATTGGGAAAGAGTTTCCTTTGATGGGAGCACTTTGTGGTTGTTAATTTTCTAGTTAGAAGACTTTTATCAGATGATTTTAACAAAAGTCACATTAACGTATATTAGAGGTTAATACAGGCGGCAGTGTAAACCAATGAGGATAGAGGTTATTTGATCTGTTTGGGGTGTTTTTTAACTGGGCACAGCCCCACCCCCAAGGCTTTGTCAATTCATCACACTTGGAATGCTGGACGGTTTTTGAGATGATATCACCATTCCAAGATGGCTCTGATGACGTCATAGTCATTTCATGGTCAATAGTGTTTACTTATAATTCCCGCCATTTTAAATACGATTTGGATGACTGTAGAGTTTTGTAATAGTCTAATGAAATGTTAAACAGGTAGAATCACAGTAAATTGGTTTGCTGATCGACCTTAGATTACTCCCAATCAGATTTGGTTTACCAACCTGTTGCATTCTAAGTAAAGAATTAATTGATATGATAATTCAATTGGCAGATATTCTAGTTATTCAATTCATGGAAATTGAGCAGAAACATATGCATGCAATTACCATATAATATGGTCTGAAATATGTCTATAAGATATTTCTATTTTTGACGTAATGTTTGGATGAACATAATATAACTTTAAAGAATCTATACATATGATTTAGATAAAGAGCTACCCGTAGTGAATATTTCATTCAAATTACTATATTCTGAGCTATATTATGAGTGTTTGAAGTTTTGACAAAACATGTCGAATGTGTTTTAATTCCTTCAATATCAAGGCAATTAAATGATCTAAAGGGTTGCTTGTGAGGTTTTTATGTGGATAAATGGCTAATTAATAATTTAGATAACATTTGAAGCCTAAAAATAGACCTGCAATATGCAGGTTTAGCTCCTACATACTGCATCTTTCAGTATCCAAGCCCAATTGTTCTATTATTCACTAGAGAAGACCATTGATTGCAGTATTCCCAATCAGATGACCGGTTAATAGAAGGAAACAAAGAAGTTGATAAAAGTAGGGCCTGGTTGGTTCTGGTGTTTGCGTGATAAAATAATCCCGTTTCGGCTAGTATTTGTCTAATTTGAGATGCGTAGACGTGAACATTTTATAAACCTGGTAATAATTCTTAAAAGCTCACCAAAACAGATCGTTCACATGTCACATATATTTCTAATGTCACATCTAATAGACTATATTTTAACCTCTGGGTATACTATATAGAATGGGATGGCTTGTACAGAAAAGACAGCTGAATTATTATTACTATGCATGTCGAAGACTGATAAAGATGGCGGTGTGGAATCAATAAAAACTAATGTAAGCCAATTGATCGATTTAAATAATTTACCAGATCAAAATGATTTTAATGGTTCTAAACTATATACCAGTGGCGTGCACAGAGGGGGGGGGGGGCAGAGACGGCGAAGGCGACGGCCCCATGTGCTAAATTCAAGTGGGACATTTAATTGAACAGCGTAATTATAATCAAGTGCTACTGAAATTTGAAAGTTGTACTTAATTTGAATATTTCATCGGATTTACATATATAAAATGTCCTCCTTCCTTGCGGGTTTATAATCAAGGAGATGGCCCCGGGCATCACCAGACCACAGTACGCCACTGTTCTATAACTAAACCCCTTTTGTTTGGCACAAACCATACCAATGTTATATACTAAACCTTTTGTTTTTTGCATAAACCACACCTGTAAGATTTCGCCCACTACTAATATGGTCTAATAAATCAATACGGACCATTTAGTTCCGAAATGACCTATTTGCATTGCTTTTATATAGTGTTGTTAATAAAATACGGTGAAAGACGTGAAGCAGTGTCAACCAGTAGGTATCTCATGATCGAGGCTATCTCATGGCGGCAGTTCTGGGACCGTTGGTTGCTAGTCAGTAAATAAAATAATTTAGCAGGAATTAAAAGACATTTATATCTTTCCGTGAATTTTATTACAAATGACAATTGCCTTACAGAGTATATAAGTGGTCTTTGGTGAATGTTGTAGCTACCATTCCTTGGTATGGATGACAGATATGATACGGCTTTATCACTTCCGGTTTTATGGATGGACTCCGTGTATTTTTTCACATTTTAGCTTGCTTTACTTATCACCTACGGTGTCATGTTCATCTATAAATAGTTGATTTTAATGCTTCAATTAATTATTCATATTTAAAGGCAAACAAATATAGTTTTAAAGGAGAAATTTTAAACCTCACTAAATTTGGCCAAATAATTATGGAAGTGCGTAATTATTACGGATGAAAACGAACATGCGGGTGGGTCATGAGAAACATACAATTAATTAACCGCGGCCTAAGATAAAGATTGTCGGTTAACAAACTGGAATGTCGCTTTCAGCTGATTAGTTGTAAAGATAACTAATTATTTTTTATATTTTGGTGACATTTGTAATTCTAGGACCTCTTTGAACTTAGTTCAGAACGTCCTATCTGAACTTAGAACGTCCTATCGTTCTGCCCCGACTGGCCTAATGAAGACGGGCATATGCCAAACAGTGTGCTATGAGGGAAATTTTCGAATTCCAACTGTCAAGGGTTCTTTTACGTGCACGCCAATGTGTTCACGGGGTCTCGTTTTTTCGTATCATTCGAACGATTATGCAATGTCCCTTGCCAGGCCCCCAGTCCTGCACCAAGGGGGGACCACGCCGGAAATTTCCGATAAACATTCTCGACCAACACCGGGATCAAATAAGGGATCCCCAGGTTAGCTAGCCAACGTATTACTCACCGAGCCACCGTGGTCCCTTATTTAGTTAAAACAAAAGGTTTAATTGGACAGACGTATATTTATTTATATGCCCTGTAATCTTAAAGGTTCAATACCACTCTTGTTGTAACTGAATAATATGTCCCAATCTTTATTCTGGTCAACAAATTGTACTATTTTACAATATTCCAATTAATTGATGATACAAATTTCATCTTAACACACCTAATTTAAAAAATTGGAAAAATTCAACTAAATGATTTGAAAAGCCTGACGTAAAGCTTTTCAAATGTGACTTGGATTTAAAAATATTTTGAAACCTTTGGACAAGTAAAATAGGATTTAATGGATAATTTACACAACAGGTGGAAATTAACACATCTAATACTTAGAATAAGGCTATTTTTTTATTTTCTGGAGCTGTCAAGCCAGCAAGAGTGTTATTGTCCCTTTAAACCGAACATCCTGCTCTTTCGTCAAGGGTCTCTTGCAAAGTACTAGTTCTAATTACCTAGTGGGGAGGGGGAACTGGGCTCTATCAAAGGGGCCTCAAAATCAGTTCTAATTACAATTTTTATGTAAAGCATACAATTTATAATTTTATGATAATGTTGTTTATGTTTGTGCCAAATGAATATATCTATCTACCATTCTGACATACAAATAGCATCTGGGCGGACGATGATAACCAATATAATATGTCCCCTTTTCATTGTTGATCTATGGGCCCCAGGGTCATTTTCAGCCAGATGCCCCATGCAAGCTTAATCTGGCCCCGATTCTAAAACAAACATATTAGGGGTAATTCTTTTAGTATTGTACTAATAATCTAACTGCGAAAATTACTCGCACCCCGCGTCAGTGTCATTGCTTACACACATATATACGTGTGGCGACGAGTACTGGGTGACGTAAGCAATGAAAACGGAACGAGTAAACATATTAAAATCAATGAATTGTAGATATATGAAAATAACAATATTAACTTACATGTGGGTTATTATAGCTCATATATTGACATAAAACATCGCTAAATCTTGATGTAATATTAATAACAATATCACAATATTCCTCTATGATTCTAATGGATGTTACATGTAATCGGCTAACACACTCTTCTTTCATTCCCACGGTCTCTCGCTTCGCTTCTGTAGCGAACTGCACACATTGCCAACACACGTAAAACTAAAATAACATTTTACCTGAACATCAGAGTCAGTGCTGGCATCCTGTACCCGTGCATTCACTATCCTAGCTTAGCCAATTCAACACGGGTGAACTTAAAGTTCGAGCTATATTATAATAGCATCGTTGATGGTAGAGTTGTAAGCAAGCCCGGGGAGAGCGGTGGGCTGTTGGGAAGTTTGTACAAGCGAGAGTGTTATAGGACTAGAGCTAGTGGCATGAGTCATTGCTACAGATGATTCATCTAGCTTACACTACCTATACTATATGCTAGGAGGTATACTATTACTCTTTCATTCTTAACACACACACAAATATTTTAAAAAATATCAAGTATTTCTATTTCTCCATTATTAACACATGCAAATATTAAACAAATATAAACTATTTCTATTTCTTCATTATTAACACATACAAAATATATTTATATTAAAAAATATAGTATTTACATATTCCAAAGCAAGATAAATACCTCTTCATTCCTAGGACATTCAAATACAAAACACTCGCATTTACAGTTCTAAGACTAGACGCGTCTTCAATTTTAGCATATTCAAATCAATGTACAGTTCTAAAATTAAACAAACAAAGACTAACACGCACACACACATAAATACAAACAAAAAACAAAAACGCATTTACAATTCTAAAAATAAACAAACAATTAACACACACAAATACAGTTCTATAAAAATAAACAAACAAATATGAACACATACAAATACAGTTCTAAAAATAAACAAAAAAATATTAACACACACAAATACAGTTCTAAAAATAAACAAACAATTAACACACACAAATACAGTTCTAAAAATAAACAAACAAATATTAACACATACAAATACAGTTCTAAAAATAAACAAACAATTAAAACATACAAATACAGTTCTAAAAATAAACAAACAAATATTAACACACACAAATACAGTTCTAAAAATAAACAAACAAATATTAACACACACAAATACAGTTCTAAAAATAAACAAACAATTAACACATATACAAATACAGTTCTAAAAATAAACAAATAAAAATATGAACACATACAAATATAAAATGCCAGATTTATAGTTCGAAAACCAAAAAAACAAATGCGTTTTAATTTTAACACATTCAAATACAAAATACCCAAGTTTAACCTTTACATTTTCATTCAGAATAAAAAAAATTTCTAATGCACAGAAGAAAAAAAACAGTTCTTTACTTCTAATGCACGGGGAAAAAATCATTTCTTTATTTCTAATGCAAAAATATAAAATGAAAATATCAATTTTCATTCCTAATACTACTTCTTCATTCCTAATGCCAACCAAAGCAAAAATTATTCATTCCTAATGGAAATAAATAAATAACTAATAATATTACTTCTTCATTCCTAATGCACAAAAAACAAATACCACTTCTTCATTTCTAATGCACAAAAAACAAATACCACTTCTTCATTTCTAGTGCACAAAAAACAAATACCACTTCTTCATTTCTAATGAAACAAATACCACTTCTTCATTCCTAATGCACTGAAAAAAAAAATAGTTCTTCATTCCTAATGCACTGAAATAGAAAACTAGTTCTTCATTCCTAATGCACTGATATAGAAAACTAGTTCTTCATTCCTAATGCACTGAAATAGAAAACTAATATATCACTTCTTCATTTCTAATGAACAGAAATAGAAAATAGTATTAGTTCTTCATTTCTAATGCACAGAAATATATAAATAATGATTAGCGCATTTGGAAAAAAAACAAAAACATCATTTACTTTTTGTATCTAGAAAGACAAATGTAACGTAAAAGTTATGTTTAAAAAAATGAAATGGGTTTTATTAAAGTCTTACTGTTCTGCACCGACTATGCTAATAAAGACGGGTGTTAAAAGAAAGTGAAGAACTTTTATTGTATTTCAATTATACAAACAAAAATAATTTGTTGCAAATGAAAGGATTTGTTGCAAATGAAAGGATTTGTTGCAAATGAAATTATTTATACAAGGAAATTACAAAAGAAATTGAGCACAATTTGTATTTCGGTATGTAGAAATAACTTACTCTGTATAATGTTTTCTGTTCACAACCACTCCGATTTTTAACAATAACGTAACAATAAAAAACTATTTATTTCCAGAATTAGATCTCTTTATTTTAAATGTATTGCTAAAGGTGGAATACAAATGCGTTTTTAATAGAAATTTCACGTCATTTTCTTCGACCGAGTTTGGCATTTTAAACAAGTATATGATCATATGTTGTGCATTGTAGAATAATACAATGTTTGTTCGGCAGCGTGCAGTTGAATCGTGTTACGTTATTTGTTATTGGCGAATAACAAATAAAGAAACAGAATGTGTTTCGTTATTCAGGATTCAAATTTTGAATAACGAATAACGAGGCAGAACATGTTTCGTCATTCGGAATTGAAAAAAAAGAGTTACGTTTTCTTAGAAATTTCATATCATCGTTGTCCATTTGTCAAGTAAACTGTTTCTTTATTTTTAATTGACTTGTGATTAAAATCAGTACCTTGTCTAAAATTATTGTCCTTTAATTGGGAAAATAATTTTTTTTAAAGAAATTTACATAAAGGTTTTGGTCTAATCATGTATCCAACACCATAAATCATCATCTCAGAATTGAAATAGGAATGGCGTAGACCTTTTCAAAGACGAATATCAGTTACTAACAAGAACACCTGATATCACATCTTGTTTGATATGTCGACCATAATAACTTGTTTGATATGTCGATCATAGTAAGTTGTTGGATATGTCGATTATAGTAAGTTGTTGGATATGTCGAACAGAACCACGTTTGAGTAAAGTAGAATTGAATGTCTTCTTTAACGGGTTTTTGTATCAGGACTAGCACATTTTGTCTCGTCTTTACTTCAGGACTATAATTTACTATATACAATAACCTATTATTCCGTCTATATTCGAGAAAGATAATTTACTATAACAACCTACCTATTGTACGTGGAAATAACCCGTTAAAGAATCGCACACGCGTCATGATATTATTCAGTTTCATTCGAGGCAGCGTGTGCTTAATGTTTTTGATACACCTTACACTGCTTTGCCATGGTAACGTCATCTACTTTAGTGGACCATCTTGATAAAGTTCACGTAATATTAAACTATTTTTTTTATGTACTTTGAATATAATCGCCCTCCGGACTCCATACTACAGCAGGCCATCTTGACAAATCGGCCCCGTTTGTCGCGACGCAGGAGCGCCATCACGTAGTGATCTCTAAAACTATTATGGCTACTTCCGCCTTCATTTCTATCGGGTTTGGAGCTCAAAGTACGGCAATAAACTCGCTCTAACTTGACTGAATGAAAAATCTAACATACCTTTTGACTTTGTGGAATAACAATCTATAATTCTACTGATCTTTTTTTTGAACATCTTATCGGATTCCTGAGAACAGATGTAGGCCTATTTTCTTCATGATCACCATCAAAACATTGAAGAATCCATTATGTCGTAAATTTTATGTTAATTAGATTGCCATTACTTAGATTTTCCTTTTTCTCACTGTTTTATTGTCGATTTGGGATGATACGAATATTTAGTATATATTAAAGACGTCTCTATTCATTTGACCTCATTTGACGTTTAAACCTTATAATGTACATGAATTTTAGGTACTATTTTTTTTGCGGATGAATACAGCTGTTCTGTATTGTATTCTGTTGTAGACTGTGAAAATTTTGGATCCATGTGTCGACGCTTTAAATCACATGGATCCATTAAACCTTCTAACTGTTTAATTCCATTTTTTTCATTGAAGATTCTTATATTACAAATCTTTCCTTACACTAGAAACGTAATCACTGGATAAAATCCAGGTACTATTAAACTAATTTTTTTATGGACTTTGAATATGATTGCACTTCAGACTGGATACTTTATTCTGTCTTATTCGAACTGAACGACATTGATTCTTGCCAACCGAATGATATACATGACAACTCGCACAAACTGAACATACTCATATTTCCGTATCCCGGCCAAGTCGTCTGCTGGCATATCCCTGTAATTAGACAAATGTTTGTATTGTTGGCGGAGGTAAATGTATAATCTGACGTGCCATGATATACCTGTCATCTGCGAAACCAAGATTGTCGTTATCTATATCTATATATATATATATATATATATATATATGGCAGTAATAGGTTCCAATATGTCCACGGCAATTATTAAAGAAATGAAATGAAATGGGTTTAACGTCCTACTGTTCTGCTCCTAAACTGGGCTAATGAAGACGAGCATACGCCATACAGTGTGCTATGAGGGAAATTGTGCCCGGGCAGCGGCGCTACGGCCTACTCTTATATGGAATTCCAACTGCCAAGGGATCTTTTACGTACACGCCAATGTGTACACGGGACCTTGGTTTTTCGTCCCATTCGAACGACTAGACAGCTGTCCTGCATCACTGACAAGGGGAAACCACACCGGAAAATCTGGATGAACTTTCTCGACCAATGCAGGGATCGAACATCCGACCTCCAGGCTAGCGAGCCAGCGTCTTTCCAATTTAGCCTCTTGATTCCCAATTATTAAATTTCGTGAAATGAAATGAAATTAAGTCCTAGTTTTCGGCACCGACTGAGCTAATGAAGAGGGGGCTTTGATTTAAATTTTGCCTACTCTTATTTCCAGTCCACCTATCAAGTGTTCGTTTACGTGTGCTCGCTAACGAACGACTAGACGCCGGTTCTCTCCAGTCCCTTCGTCCAGCATCACTGACACTGAGCCTCAGTCGTGGGAAACGGGGGATATGACAACAAACAGCGTCTAGTAATCCGGATTGGACAAAAACGTGAGGTCCCGTGTTTCGAAATAAGAGTAGGTCATAACGCCTTTTGGCCCGGCAAAATGTCCCTCATTGCACACCGGATCGTGTATGGTCGTTTTCATTATCCCGGTAGGTGCAGAAAAGTAGGACGTTAAGCCCTATTTTA